TTCTTCGCTATATATATATATATATATATATAGCGAAGAAACTAAGTATAGATAGTTTTGCAACAACTAGAAAACGGCAAGTGACGGTAATAGAACTACTAGTGAAATAGTCGTGCCCAGACGGTGATGGTTTTGCGAATATGTTCAACGGAAGAGGACACACTTTTTCTGTGGATCCTACAGAGTAGGGAGAAATAAATGTATGAACTGTTATGGAAGTAAAAGAAATTCATAGCAAGGGCCTATGTGTTTGTGCATCAAAAATAAAACGAAAATACAGACAAAAAAAATGCCGTTTGGATCGGACAAACTGTATTAGATGCAGTGCCCATCGTTTATTCACTGAAGAGGAATCTTCTGCATTGACTTTGCATGCACGTGGTGAATATATTTCATTCTCCTACTAGTCTCGTAGCACGTAAGTGCTTGACAAACTGTTACCAACTCTAATACAAATGCTTCACCAATAATGTACAGTTTACAGCGGTTGAAATGTGATTCCGCGGTGGACCACTACGGCAATTTTGCGGTTTATTGTGCTAAGAAAATGAGCTTGTATTGGAGAATAAGGTATACGAATGTTGTACCTGTTGCTAAAATTAAATTTTTCTAATTAAAATATTCAAATGAGGTCAACATTGTTGGGAAGGCATCTGACGGTCAAATTTTCGCTCTTAAAAGTAAAAATACTGAAAGGAAAACAGTGATTATACTAAAATTTTTAAAAATCTGAACCAAAAGCATATATCTTTAACAGCTCAAAATTTGAACAACGCCTCATTGTTCCATCTAACACATATAGTAAAGATAACAACTATTGAAAATCGTGAGAAATAAATTTCTTGCTAGGCGACCAATTATTTAATTATAAAGATATTACTGGGAGAAATCAAAACCAAACCTTGAGAAGTGGCTCATATGCAGCAGGGTTCAAGCAGGTGCGAGTTGTAAAAGCAAGTTTTTGGTTTTGTTTTTTTTTTTCTCATGGAACATTTTTGACTGTCTATCGAATACGGGTTGACTTTCCCAGTTTTGGTAAAATTTTTTCTAGTTTAGCTGAGAAACTTAAATTCAGTTTTTTATGAAGCTGGTTTTTTCAATCCCACTCTCAATCCCATTACAGGTTACTGTCATCTGCACAACAACCCTTTCGCCTTATTTCAGTCATCACTCGCTTATTGTAATTAGTTTTAAACAGTATCATTTTGAACAGGAAAGCGAAATACAATGACAAAACGTACAGATTTTGTCAAAAGAATTCTTTCAAGAACAACTGCAATGAAACCTGGAGGAGAACAAGCAGAAAAAAGCATCATAAAAAAAAAAAAAGGAAGAATATTGGTCTACATTTGACACTTTGACGAACAATTAAAACCTCAAGAAAATTATTTGCAACTAAATAACACCAAATTAATTCGTTGGAACTATAATATCTACGCTGAAAACGATTGTGAAATGTTAGATGTTCTAAAAAGAAAAAAAACTTCCTCTGAAGCGTGAAATAAATGCCAACAGTATGAAAAACTGAAACAAAACAAAGGCACAAATCATTTATCAAATGTTTTCCTAAAGACTTAATGACCGGTAGATTGCTCAGAACTGATCGGTGCGCTCAGAAGAAAATCATTGTTGTATATAATCCTTGTCAGTAATCAGTGGTGATTACCATTCAGACAGATCTTGATGATAATTGCTGATCCCTTCTATTTAATTAAAGTCCATTTTTTACTGCTAAATTCCTTGTGTGTTTTGATTGACACAACCTCAAAGCTAAAAATTTTGATGTTCTAAAACGCAAAACAGTGCGAAGAAACGTCTTCGATTATAGATGGTGATGCTGGTTACGAGATTTCCCTAATTTGTTGAGCATGGAAAAAAAAGATACCACATGGAAAAAAAAGAAAAAAACTGTTGTCATTTGTTGTCTTTAGATGTCTAAGCACAACACACCAACAATACAAAATTTTTTTAACGCTGAAATGCTTGGTTTGCGCCGACACTGATCAAACAGCTAACGCAACCTTTTTTTCAATTTCTTCCCTACTTGTTTTCTTCTCAAAGAGTGAAGCAATTCCTTTTTAAGTTTTATTTTTTTGTGCAAAATATTTTTATTTCGTTTTTTTCTCCTCTTCTATAAAGTTTACAATTCTCGTTACAAGCAATCTGACAATATAAAAAGAAAAAAAAAACACTTAGTTTGCAACAACAGTAAGAACGCCGCTTCACAGCGACCACAATTTATCACCTTCATTTTGATGGGCAGGGTTTTTAGATCTATATACATACTGAAGCCAAATGGCAACGTATTCAAACAACGCCTGTAGTTTGTTATGATGGCTGATACACAGTGCGCCACGGACACAGGAACATCAACATTATATTTTATATAATTTGTAATGAAAGAATCTTTATGTTTCCCAAGTCTGCTAAATTGAATATATCGGTGTTAAATCAGACAACAAAGAAGAATTTTTATTAATTTTTGAAGAAGACGGTTTACGTAACTGACAGCTGAACAAACATGATTGGGATAATATAGTTTCTAAGGTCAAATCTGAGCCTGATATTTATGTATTTATATGCATTCAATATAAAAAGCGTTCGTTGTTGACGATCTTTCATACCCAGCATAAAATTTAGAACACCAAGCCTAAATATAACAAAACTGAACATAACTTCTATCACGAAGGAAAAGAAAGTTGAAGTAGTGTATTAATCAAATTTCTACCATTTCTTACAGCAGAATCAATAATTCCTTTTAAAATTTGGCATCCTTCTATGCGTTTGTTGCTCAGAAACCACCATTGATTCATTGGCAAATACAAATGAGAAAAAGTATTTGAAAACTGGTTAACTTTTTTTTTCATACACAACCGGCACCATGAAGCGACAAATTAAAAGCAACCGCTTTTCTTTATAGTATACTTACAGCTTATATTATTCAATGATAGCTTGATGGTAGCCCTTCTTTTGATACATATATGTATAAACGTACATATTATTTAATATATACTGATATATATTAATACAAAAATATATATTAATATGTGTGTGTGAATATACACTAATATATACGTATATATAGTAATATGCATACATATATATTTGTTTATTTA